CCGCCGGGGCGGGCCCCGGCAGCAGCAGCAGCAGCAGCAGCGTGCTTCAGCGAGGATGATTTTTACTGTCCCGTCTGCCAGGAGGTGTTCAAAACGCCTGTGAGGACCGCGAACTGCCAGCACGTGTGGGTATCCCCCCCTCCCGCCTCCCCTTCGCCAGCCTTTTCCTCGCCGCCGCCCGTTCGCTGCCTTTCACCGCTCTGCCCCCCGCGCCCCAGCGCACGGACCCGCGGCCTGGAGGCGCGGCGGGACCCGCGGAGCTCCTTACCCCGCGCCGCCGCCGAGCGCTGGCTTTGAGGCTGGCGTGCGAAGGGCTGCCCCAGCCTGCCCTCGCCTCTTTCTTTTGTAGCGAAGGAGGAGCGGTCAGTCGGGAAAGCCGCCTCTTGAAGCAAGCCCCCGGTGCTTCAGGTCGGTGGTGGCCGAGTTTCACAGGCGATGAAAACATCTTGCACGTCTAAGCTAACTCGCCTTTTTACCTTTATAGTTTCCCGTTCGTTTTCAAACGAGGACCATAGCGTAGTTGTTCTCTCTTTTCAGTTCATCTGTTCCTGGTGGAAAAGTGTGCGTTTTTCAGAGGAACGTTTAATTACCAAGTACCACTTTGTAGAAAAGCAAAATAGCTTTGGCAGTCGGTACACGAGGAAAAGAGAGGAGAACTGGAAAAGCTGGTGAACTGAAATCTTTGGAAACGCGTGCTAAATGAAGCTTTGCAGTATTTTTGGCTCCGCTTAACAGGAGTTACTCTGATAAGATTTTCCAATATCGTGTGCCTGCTGCACCATTTGATATCTCATTAATGATCAATCTGGTGTACAGCTCAGGAATACTAGTCAGTAAATAGTAGGATCTTTACCTCAAGTGCATTGCCAAGTTCCCCTAATTTCCATATACTTCTTTGTAAGCACCATTATTTCATTTTGCTTATATTTATAAAGATTTGTATTCAGTAGACTATTACTTTGATATGTATCTTTTTTTCCTAATAGTCACCCAGCTCTCTTCAAGGACAAAGTGTCTAACTCTCTTCACTTTGCTAACCTGTGTTTGTGGTAACTTTTTAATTCAGGTTTTGCAGGAAGTGCTTCTTGACAGCTATCAGAGAAAGTGGAACACATTGTCCTCTCTGCCGGGGGAGCGTGACTAAAAAAGAAAGAACGTATCCCAAAAGGGCTTTAGATGTTGAAAACAGCATGAAGAAAGCTTCTGGGGGCTGTAGATGCTGTGAGAAGCAGGTAGAGTAAAACTTTACAAAAAGTTGGATAATTTTTTCTTATTTTTGCCAGACACACTTTTACTGTGTCTGTTGTTTTTGTCTTGGAGCTAAAGAGCCTATAGCAGTTTGAACTTAGCTTTGTATGGCTTGTGCATATACTAGGCATGCAGTGCCTGCTAGGTATGCCTAACAGGTGTAAACTGAAAGGGGATCTTGTATTGTCTACAAGGACTTTTTAAGTGGAGTGCCAGTTTTTCCCCAAAACAATGCGAAAACTGAATATAGCTATAAAACTGGCAAAAGAAAAGTTAGACAACTGAAAATTAAAGTTGCAGATATATGGAAAACCTCAGAAACTTTCACTATGGAAATGAAAGTGCTTAGAACTACTGTAAAATTTAATTTTAAACCAAAAAATATGGGTTGATTACTCTCAGTGTACATACAATCATATGTAATTTCACCCTGCCCTATCAGTCTGTTTACATTCCCTTTGTTCCCTTTGTAAAGTGGTCATTATTTTCAGAACATTGGGTAAAATCTTGACCCCCACTGAAATCAAGAGTAATCTCTCTTCTGATATAAATGGATGCAGGATTTCAGCCACACATTTTGTTTGCATCAAATCCAGGTAGTTGTCTTCACATTTGTTTCGTTTCACTTGGGACTTAGTTCTGCCAATGTGAAGATTAGCACTAAGCTGAGCTGCTTGCTTTGTTCCACATGATGCATGAGGTTGAGAAGCTAGGAGAAAGAAACAATAACAAGCTGGTAAACTGGAAGGAAGAACCAAACAGATCCCCAGAAGAACTTTAATGGAATTTAGGCACAGATGCATGAGATGTGATCTTGTTCAGCCTCTAAACCTGTAAGCACTTTCTGACAGTGCTGTTGGACCTGAAATTCTGATTTAGGGCATGTCCAGCATAGCTTTCTTCTAACAAATCTAAGCAACTCCTTGTCTTGCCTTACATTTAAGCTGGATAGGCAGCCTGAAGTTGGTGTTCATTCACTTTTTTTTCTTCTTTATTCTCAAAGAGAAAAGTTATGTATTCTCAGAACACATCTAATGCAAAAAGATTTTGCTCTGCACAAGGTAACAGCAGGCCAGAGAAGACTGAAGGAATGCTTATCCCATCCTCATGGCCTGTCTCTGTCATAGCTCATCAGTCACTGATCCTGGATTTGGGAGGCGTAGTTCCTGTGACTTTGTTTCGGTTAAATGGAGTTTACTTGCATCTTTCACCCCTGAGAGAGCTTTCTCAGTTGCCTGGCTGTTGGGGGTTTGGGGAGTGGGAATGTTCTCTGGTCTCACAGAGTGACAGAGGCTCTATGGAAAAAGGAATATAAGATCTCCTGTTGGGGAAGAAAGTGTTCGTGCTGAGAGGGGAGACACAAGTTCTGGTTTCTGCTGCATATGATATCTATACAGTTCCTGCATGTGTTGCTTTCTGTTGGCAGAATTATCTCCTCCTTCTGTCCCTGGATTGTTTAGTATAATTTCAATAATTTGACATTCCTGGATCGTTTAGTATAATTTCAATAATTTGGCATTTCATTTACAGGTTAGGTTTTCATGGATGAGACAGCATTATAAAACATGTAAGAAGTATCAGGATGAATATGGTGTTTCTTCTATTATTCCAAACTTACAGATTTCCCAAGATTCAACAGGGAACAGGTAATCAGGGTGTTTTATGTCTAACAATGCATCTCCTTCTTTTTGGTCTCTCACCCCCCCACCTCCCCACAAAGGAAAGTTGTTGTTGTTTTGTTTTGTTTCTTTTTCCCCAGGGCATGCCTTCTTTTTGCAATAATTATTGTCCATAGTTTTGTGCTTCAACAAAATCACAGTTTTTCCAGGTCTTTTTCTTCGCTCTTAGCATACAGAAGAAAACCGTTCTACATGATGGTTTGCAATGTCTTCTAGGGGCTCTCCTAAAAAGTGTATAGTATTTGTAGCTTGCTTTCTTTGCCTTGACAGCATTTGAGCAGCTTACTTTGTAACAGATTTCATATTTAGCCCTAGGGAAGTTTCCTTCTCTTTTTATTCCCCCTCCCCTTTCCTAAGTCTGTTCTAGTGGGTATCCTGTTTCAAAACATTACTGTGCAAGCTTTTGCTTTCTGGTTGAATTTATTTTGAACTGATCTCTTAAGAAATGTATAAGGAACTCCAGTATGTTACCCACCATAAAATACAAACGCCACTTACCATTTGTTTCCAGGCAGTAAAGCTGAAGAACTTTTCTTTTTCATACCTTCTGACTGATGTATTTGGTTTGGTTGGGGATTGTTGCTTATTTTTTAAGACCTTTTTTTACGTATTAGTTTCACAGGGCTTTATTATATATAGCCTGTCCTTTATTTACGTTGTTTTGACATCTATTTTCTATTTTTAGCAGTCTGAACTTCTCTGTGTTTGGTTTTCAACCCATCAGTATATTGAAAGCAGAAGTTTAAGCTGTTACCAGAACTAGTTGCAGCAATGTTACACCAAAGTGTCTAGATATTGTTATGTCATTATTTATTGACTATGCCACAGTATACCTGTGCTTATATTATCACAGAAGTATAAAAAAGGTACTGTCACCAGATTTGTGACTGTAAATATTCATGTTCTTAGGATGATCAGCATGTCTAAGCAGTCTCTTCTGGCTTAGCTAGAGGTGCATATATGGTCAAATTTATTTTCTAAAATGGTCCTGTTTGTCACTCTTACTTTAGCAAATAGTTTATTTTGTGCACAGCATAAGGAAGTTTATCTTGCTGTAGTTGAGAGTTGTAAATTATTTGTGTAAACACGTGGCAGTTAAATGCCTATTTACATAGTCCTAAATCAAAAAACTTAGGAAGTGCAACCTGTCTCGTATTCACATAGTTTATAATGCCTTTTGAGCTACTTAGCTGTAATCTCCATTACCATTCTTGTTGACTAAATGTCTGTTGTATTATATACCACTTTCCTATAAAACTGTGTAGTATTCCACTAAGGGTCACCATGGTAACTAAATACTGAGTCATACCATGATCCAAAGGAAAAGTTGAGAGAGTTAAATATGTGCCATTATATGTTTTGCCTTGAAATTCATGGGACTCTAATGGATTTCCCCCACCCCTGTTTCTGTTAAACTTTTGAAAATTTTGATAGTGGAGTAAATAATCTCAATTTTCTTTTTTTTTTTTCTTGACTTCATTTAAAGTAGCAGGAGTGATGCAATATCTGATAATGGCGAGATGGCTAATAATCAAATACTTCAAGGAGAAACAAGGTAGGCTGCTTGTTTTTCTACAGTTATTATTAAAATAGATCCAGACAGTCATAGTACAAGCTTCTACTAACTTCAAAAAAACCCCACACAAACACCTACAAAAAGTTGTATTAAAAAAACCCTGTAGTTTCTTCTACAGTTGCGTCTATCCATTAGAATTTGTTTTTTTCAGTACTTTCCGGAAGGATTTGCACTAAAAGATGTTACCAGTAAGTAAGAACAGGTTGCAGCTGCAATTGCAACAAAAGAATTTTCTAAAGTCCAGGTCTCAGAAGAATGCATTTAGGGGTACAAATAATAAATGTGCTTTAAAATCACAATTTGGAAGTAGCACTGGAACTCCATTAGATACGCTACTATGTCAGTGAGGGTGGGGTTTTTTGGTTGTTATCAAAATAAGGGAAAACAATGACAACATAACAGATTAATTAAGCTTTCTGTAACACTACTTCTAAAACTCTCTTTTCTGTTTAATACTGTGTATTTCTGTTTACAGTGGACACCCAACCTTCAAATGCCCCCTGTGTCAGGAAGCCAATTTTACCAGACAACGCTTGCTGGATCACTGTAATAATAGACATCTTTATCAGATAGTTCCTGTAGTAAGTAGAGTTGCTTATGTATGCTTCTTAAGCTACTTCCATTATAATTATGTGAACAATTTTAAATGTGCAGTAGCTACTCTATATCTGTAAAGATCACTGTGGTCTGCGAAAGACAATATACTTAATGCAGTGCATTTAACTTGAGGAGTGACTTTCATTTGAAAGTGCTTCTCGTCCAGCTTGTGTCGGTTCTAAGGCATTTCTGACTTAGCTGTCTCATTTATCTTGCTGTGAAACAAACTCAGTTTTTGAGCCTGACACTTAGTCTTCTTCATTTAGTAATCCAGATCTGTTTCTATAGAATCCCATTTGTAACGTAACTATTGTTTCATGTGAAACCTACAGTTACTTGAAAAGTATTCTAAGGTAATCAAAGGGAGTGAAGGAGAAAAATCTGTTTGATTTTATATTCTTTTCATCTGTATAGGGTGTGTTATTTTTTCTTTCTGCTTACTTGATCATCTCAATTGTATGAAAATCCTCCTAAACAATAAGTAGGATGCAGTAATCACTTTCTTTTCTAAATTTTAAACAACAGAAATTGACAAAAAGAGTGCCAGGCAGGCATGATAATCCCCCACTCCTAAGAGAAACCCTTAAGAAATTTGGCAAGTTGAAACGTAATTTTTGAATGTTGCACAATTGAGGGAAATAACACTTAGAACTATGATTTTATGTGAACATCTCTACTGTATTTTGGTAGTGGATGAGTAATGGACTAGTTATTCCTGTAGAACATGTCTTTAATGCATTCTGTATTACCAATAACTTTTTTTTTAATTCTCTCTCTTTCCCCTTCCCCTCCAAATTCAGATCTGTCCTATTTGTGTATCTCTTCCTTGGGCAGATACTAACCAGGTTACTAGAAATCTTGTTAGTCATCTAAATCTAAGACACCAGTTTGACTACGGAGAATTTGTGGTAAGCTTTTTCTTCTTTGATGTGTAGGGGTATAAATGGTAACTTTTTTCTATAAATAAAAATGCCAAATAAAAAATTTGTACCAAACTTGTTTGTGCTCTGGACATGCTATGTTCCTGCTCTGTGCAGAACTCAGAAGTAGGCCTGTCTGTTCTTAAACTTTCCATTATCAACATGAAGTGCTACCGGGAATAGGTGTTGTCAACAGTTAAGCTCTGCTCCAAACTAATGACTTAAGTCTTCAGCTTAATGTTCTCAATCTGAACTATTTGTTCCTCCAGAACAGTTTATTACTGCTGCTTCTGCGGGAAATAAAATAGATTCTACTCCATTTTATTGACATTTTTGACCTTTCATGGCAGAAATGGCTAAATCATGATTCTCAGGACTCAAGGTGCAGCTTGACTAGCTGGTATTGCTGCTACAGCCTCTCTTCCAGTATGCTGTGAGAGAGGCTGCAATGAAGAGATGTGTCATTAAATCATTCCGGTTGCCTTCTTTCAGGCTCACTTTGAATAAATGACCTCAGAGTAGATGCAGAACTACATACACAGGTGTAGTCAGTGAGTGGATCATAAGTCAAGCCAACCAGTTGAGTTCTGCATGTGGGATCAGAGAGCGGGAGAGCTTGTGCTGTAGTTTCTACAGAGTTTGACAGGCTGTGGGATGCACTGCTTGAGCTTTGTGTGGGATGAGTGTAGTGTTTGAGACATAGGCAGCCTCACTGGTTAAAGATGGCAAAGACGATGCATATTCTTTGTGTTGACTAATCTGCGATGAATGCATGAAGAGCTAAGAGATTGATACAGGGGACTGGGCTCTTCAACATGAGTGTATCTTGCATGTTTGAGGATGTAAAACTGGTGATTGGAATTCTCATTTGGGTAGGCTGCCAGAATTGCACTAAAAAGGTGTATTGCTCTGCCATACTAACAACTTGGAAGATAGCTCTTCAAAAGTAGCAGGGTTAACCAGGAAGACAGCTCTTTAAAAGTAGCAGGGTTAACCACCCATCTTTTGTGGTATGTGTTTGCTTTCTCCTTTTAAGCAGTATATTTTCAAAATCTATGATTACTGTTGTCTGGGGATCACATTTTGTTTTTATTAATGGAGAATGTTATGGCTGGTTGGAAACCCTGTTATAAGAATTGTGTGGCACAGTCAGCTTTCCTGAGCTGGCTATTCTGTAATATAGTTGAGCCAGGGAGAGAAGATGAACCCTTCTGCTTAATGAGCCTTGTCCCACTCATCTGATTCTTCTCCTGTCTCATGTATCTCTTGGTACTTGGTTAAATAAAAGATAGTGTGCAACATAAACAATCATCTAGTACACATGAAGATGGAGAATCTTCATCTAGGTGCCAATTCCTATGTAAAAATGTGGAAAGTGAATGATTAAACTAAGGACTATGGTAGATCTTGAGTATTTGTCCATTTTGATGATGTTTTCATTTTGTTTAGAATCTTCAGCTTGATGAAGAAGCCCAATACCAAAATGCAGTTCAAGAATCCTGTCATGTGAACTTTTAAAGTATAGTCCCCCCTTCATCCTACTGATTATCTGAGAGAAAAATTACATTAATTCTGTTGGTGATCTGAAGTGTATATTAATAAAAATGGTATTCAGTAACCACTTTTCAGGCTTAACTTTTCTACGCTCATAAAGACTTTTCATAAATGATTTTGCTGAAACTCAAACTTGACATCTTCACTCAGATCTGTCCCTGTGGAATTAGGGACCTTTTTGGAACTTCTAACTGTTTTCTTGATTTTCTCTAACTTTTACCACTCTGTTAATTACATGGTTTCTTTTATTAATGTCAGATATTTTAATTCATCAAAACCAACTTTGAAAGTATCTTCAGGAAGACATGCAAAGATGCTCTATTACACTGATGAATTTCTTTAAGTTCAGCTGTCATCTGCTAAGATATCTGAGATGATAATTTTTTTTTATCCAAAGTTTTATTTGATGTTGTGATTTGTTTTTTTACCATTACTATGTGAAGGAAAACAAGAACAACTTAAGAAATAAAAAAATTCATTTTTATAGCTCAACAATGCAGAGCAGGTTTTTTTCTTACCTTTCATTGAGAAAGAATGATGCCATTGCCTAGGAATAATTACACCTATTTTTTCCCCTTTTGGAGCTTAACTGAAATAGGATGCTTGCTTACTAAAGTGATGGGTGAGGAGTTTTCCCTGTACTCCCAGCTACTAAGGAAGATGACATACTTTCTGAGCAATTCAAGATCACGTGCAAAAGGCATACTTTTTTGGTATATGACTGACCAGTTAGTTTTTCATTTCGTTGAAGCTTTTTAAGAACCTCTGTTGTTAAATTTGGAATTCAAGTTTTGGTCTGTTCTGTCTTTCGTGGAAGGCTGTGTAACTAGAGAACTAATTGGCTTCAGACCTACCAACACTCAGAAATGAACTTGTTTATTTTGGTAAGACTGTTTAAAACTTGGACATCTCCTGCATACAAAGGCTTTGAAAAAACAGTAGAAAAGAAACACTTGCTCTAAAATATTTACCAACATATTTTAAGAGTTCCTATTCTAGATTTCTACATTCCCAGCAAGACCATCATTAAAGTCAGAGAAAATGGAGCAATAATACAATTTTGAATTTAAATAGAAAAGCCATTTGTAAAAGAACTTTAAGGTCTTTTATTTAATACTAATGAGGAGAAGGGAAAAGCAAGCTGCACAGCTTATATTTGGTAGGTTTAAATAGAGGCTGTTCTGAATGTATACCTTTTAGGACTGACTCTTCATCCTGTGTCACCATAGCCCATTGTCAAACTACTGTTTTTAATGGGTATTGTATATGTGGTGGTGAACATCCCCAGTAATTTTCCTAGTCTAGTTGGTGATTTATGTGTAATAATATCAGTTGTGCAGCCAAAGTACAATCTGCTTCTTGTGCCCTGGCTCCCATTTGCTCTTCAAATAGAGGTTTTGAATAAATACTGAGATATTTCATATTCCAAAACTGGTAAGGTTGAAATGCCTCATTCTGCTATGTAACGGGTTTCAGAACTGAATCTTAGTTCTAATATATTGAGTATTGGAACTAAAACACTATACATTGTAACTTGACATTTCTATCTTCTGGTTTTTAAGCATAAAACATTACTGAAGGCATAGCTGGCTAAAATACAGAGAAAGTTGGCTTTTTCAGAACTGTGTAACAGTTATATCATTTTTATAACAACTTAACATGTCTTGCATTTTGTTACTGGCTTAATACAGTATTTTGGCAGCAGGCCACGCTTTGATCTTGTATTCCCAACTTCCCTGTTTGCCCCCAATACTGTTGTCTGCGTATTCTCACTCGTCTGTCAACTCTAGTGCTTGTGTGACCACATACCGATTTGGAGTGGTTCACTGATCCAACTGAAAAGGTTGGTTGGATTTTCTACTTTCTCTTTTCCTCTGTAAAGCTGACTATGAAATAGTGCCCTTTGACAGAAAGGAATTTCAAGGTAGCCTGATGCTAAATTTTAGCTTTTTAAAATAAAAATGCATACCGTGGTGATTTTATTACTTCATACATTTCCTAAGGAATTTAATAGTTATGTGTAAGTTTAGTTAACTTTTTTAGATTCAATAAAATATTTATATGATCTGGCAATAAATGCCTACAGCCAATACAGATTCAGAATGCCTCATGGACACTGGAACTAGTTATTTCTATTACTTGAACATATCTTGAGAATTGCAAATGGAATTACATCTGTTTTAAAACTCTGGGAAACAAATTTTTCTACAGCAATAATTAGTTGTCACTTGATGCATAGTTGCTGAGCATTTTAGTCATGTTTAAATGTTGAGAGACTTGAATACACATTTTAAAGCAACAGATGTGTACAAATGCAATGTAAAAACTTGCAAAATGTTTATCCTCTTTATTTGCATATGTTAAAATCTGTATTGGCAGGCACTGCCTTGCTTAAGATTTTGTACTTTTAATATGAAGAGATTGCATCCAATACATTCACTAGGTTAAGCGTTTAATGAAAATGAAACAATCTATTTAAATATGCTGCTGCTGGTCATGGCCTTTCTCACTGAAACTCAGACATACACAAAAAGCTGTGTATTTGTGATGGGTGATGCTTGTACTCAAAACATGCAATCTTTATTAGTAGATTGCTGTTTAACAATGTTTTCATGTTCACGTTGCATTGTGTATGGTTTCAATATGGTATGTTATGTTTGAATTGTACCTTCTATTTTTTCTCCTATTAAAGTATTTTATTTTCTGTTTGTCTCTTTGTTGCATAATAAAGATGATCAGTCCCCTTGATGCTACTTCTTCCTTTCCAGATGCTTTCTAATCTTAAGTGCATGGTCAGTTGTATGCCTTCATTCACTCATTAAATGATTAGAATACCTGTATGCTGCTGGAACCGATGAGTTGCGGCTCATGATCCTCTCATGAGCAGACAAGTTACCTTATATCACATCTTAAGATCTTCCCATGAGCAGAAAAGATGATAGGTTGGACAAAAGTCATTCATGCTTCTTTTCTGCCTCCCATGTTCATATGTTGCTGTCCCACGTGATTTTAGTATAGAAATAACCTCCTAAAAGGAGAGGGAAAGGGGTGTTTTTTGTATGTAACACTTGGGGCCAATAGCAAAACCTTATTATTTAACGGTAGATTTACGAAGAAGAGATAATGTTTTTCTGAGGAAAGAATTGTCAATGAGTTTGGGCTGGTTGCAGTATTGGACCAGCAAGGTGGCATCTAGATGATTTATCCGTCTGCCCTGTATTTCTGAGCTGAAAAACCCTGTGGTTATTTTTTGTGCTTTTACTTTCGAAGGACATACAGATGATAATACAGCTATGAAATTGAGTTAATGTCTTATTTTGAATGCTAGAGATATAGCAAAAATACGTGAATTTACTTTTTATTAGTTTATTGTTCTTTCCTCTTAGAATGTAGTTTTCTGAGCTCTAAATGGATTATTGTATCTCGTAAATCTGGTTATAAGCCCTTTGTTAGAGGTTGCATTTAATTTTCTTTTACTATAGCAATTCATATTTCATTATTTAGAGAGAATGCAGTCAATGTGCTTAATTCTCATTGGCATTATGTTGGTTATAGGACATGTGAGCTCTGCAGAACTCCTCTTTGTCCTGCTCCAGTCCTAAGCCAGGGCTTCATTCCCAGGGGGAGAGAGGGACTTTGTGCACGCAGGTCGTCTTCTGACCGGTAGTCAGGGCTAGAAGGTTTTCTGTATTTGGGAAGCATTCCTGTGTCCCTCTTTTTAGATGGGGCTTTTGAGTCTGGTGAGATTTGAACACGTGAGTGTCTGGGAGGACTCTGCTATAAAAAAGTACACCTAGTGTATTTTTTACATCTTTTGTTTTATGCTGAGACAGACAGACTAATTCACAGATGCTCTTAAGAGATGTGAACTTTGCAATGTCTTGTTAACACCGTGCTGTTTGTGAAATGACTGCCGAACATGGCAGCCAAGGTTGTTTTATTGCAGGCAAGCAGAGCTACAAGAATATCTGACAAAAGTATCTTCAGGGTTCTTTTAGATTTGGAGAAACCAGCAATGAAAGGACACAAACACTACATAGCCTGTTCTCAGTACAGTGTGCATTTAAACTTGCTCTAGCTATCACGTTTCTGTTGTGTCCCGTTGCGGGTATGTTTGAAAGCACATAGGAGACAAAATTCAGAGCCTCTACTATGAGAAGGCTTTTCAATAATGTTAAAATTGCCATATCCCAGTGAATTGCCAGACTCTCACTCGGGTTAAAATGTGGACTTTTTTTTTCCCCTCATGAGTAAAGGGGGTCTGTACTGTTTCTTTCTCTCTTCAAACTGTAGGTCTGCTTTGGGAAGGACCAGTTTTCACCTCTTAATTTTCCAGCCCTAACCAGCCTTATTCTATCTGCAACATTTTCTTCCCCCTCCCCAGTCATATATCTCTGTTTTTGTGGACATGATCAGGAAAGAGCTAGGAAAGTAAATTTTACGGTTATTCCCTCACCACCTCCCAAGCTGTTAGGAAATTGAAAAAAGGGAAAAAGTCATCACTGCCAAATGCATTCTGTGGAAAGCATCTAATTCCATTTTAAATCTTTGCCTTAAATCCTCTGTATACATTTAGGATGCATTTCTCAGCTCCATGAAGCTGCAGGTCATTTCCCAGGGCTTAGTGACAGAATATTGTTTTTATGAACTTGTTTAAGCTTATGAGGACGCTTAGTCACTGAGAAAAGCGTTCCTCTCTATTACTTCATAGCCTTTCTCTACTCTTGTGTTTCTGTTTTCTCATAAGTTCACCCTGTCTGTTTCCCTCCCACTCCCCTTTCTGTCTTTTAAAGTAATCAGCAATTAAATAGCTAAGATTATATTACTTGGCTACTAAGTGTTGTCTCATATTCTGTATGTTTTATACGCTCCTCTGGCTGTGCCCTCAATATCTTGGAGCTGATGTGGGCCTCGGGGGTAAATAGAGTAACTAAGAAACTTAGCATTAATAATTTCCAGAGTTTGCCTGCCATGTTTACTTCTATGGCTGGAGGAGTTTATATTTCTCAGAATGTGTTTGCAGTTTGAAAGAATCTGAACATCTTACCAGTCAGAATTTTTTTTTCTTTTTTTGAATGCTAGAAGCATTTACTTTGTTGTTTTCTTTGGGGAGAGGGATTTTTTTTGGATTGGAGAGACCAGGATGATGTTTAAAATGA